TCGCCGGAGCCCAGCAGGTCGAGGCTGCGGTGGCCGGGAGCGGCCACTGCACTCCAGTCTGGGCGACAGAGTGAAACTCTAACTCAAAATAAAATAAAATAAAATAAAATAAAATAAAATAAAATAGGAGGTTCCGCGTAGACATCTGGATGCCTGCCTTTTCTCAGGAGAGAGGACCATCCAGCAACCTTGGGTCCACATCCAGATGGCATCACCGCAGGAACGGGGACACGGCCATCACCTCGAAGCCCGGATGCCTCCCCCAGAGCCCCTGCTTGCACCCAGCCACATGGGTGCTTCCCCTGCCTGGATCTGTGGGCGTCTGAGCTCATGACCCATGGGAGGTTGGGCTGCGAAGGAGGGAAGATATGGCTCTCCAGACTCCAGGAAGAGACTGTCACAGCTGAATTCCAGGCCCCCGCCAGCTTCCCGCCCCGGCTACACAGACAAACAACTGGAAAGGACCGCGGGGCCATTAATCCGGCACCTTTTATCATCATTAAATTGAAGAGAAAATTGAAACAGTGGCTGGGATCTCTCTTTGATCTACAGCAAAGGGATGTTAATAACCGTGTTTCTGGGGAGAGAGCTGATTAACACGGAACTTAGCGGTGTTCCGGTAACAGCCGTTGTCAGGAACATTCCTGGTAAATTAATTTCTAACTAGCTCCTGAATGCATAAATGAGAGAAAGATCTTGGTGGCTGTGGCCGGCCACGGCTAGAAGGCAACAGCCACTCGAACTCTGTGGCCTCAGAGGCATAATTTTGGGGGTGCAAAAGTGATTGACAAAGGGTTATTTAGGCAAAAGCTCCATTGCAAGATACATTTTTTTTTTTAATTTATAAAATCCTAAGAGCAGGGCTTGGTTTTAAGTCTCTTAAAGATCCTACAAATATCAGCAATATGAAAATCGTCACATTTCTTTTTCTTGGACACTTATGTGTAAATGTTTAATTGGTTCATCTGTCTTCATCTCTGGGAGATGTCACAATATTTCTGACTTGTGTGTCATAGAAACAGTCCCAAACACGAAATGAGACAGACTTGGCAAAACAGGCAGGGAAAATTGAGAAGGTGGTCAGATATGAGGCATACTTCTGAGTATATTAGACAGGTCTCCAAAACAAGTGACCCCAACATATTTCAAAACTTCATGTTGTACAGGATAAATATGTATAATTTTTATTTTTCAATTAAAATATTATTTTTAAGTGACTTCAAAACACAATGACTTAGACAAGACACAAGTTCACTTTTTTACACCCTCAATGTAGAGAGTCTGGGGCCAGGAGGGCGGTTCAGAATCTCTCAACTCATGGTTTCCACCTTTGGATCCAAAGTTGCTGCTTCAGTCCTCACCATCACATCTGCATCCCTGCCAGCAGGAATCACAGAACCAGGGAACACTCATCCAGTCTTTTTAGTGGGATGCCCTGTGTAGTCATCAATTACTTCTACTATCACATTGGCAAGAGCTGAGTTGCATGATGGTCTCACTGACATGGAAGAGAAGATGGGAAATGTCGTCTTCAGTTGGGTGTCCATGAGTCGAGCTGAAACTTGGGAGTTCCATCATTACCAAAAGAAGACGTGAGGCTCCCATTGGGCAATTAACAAGATACCCATACTGGGGAATGGAGGACCTCTGGAATTAAAAAAAAAAAAGAAAAAAAGGTTCAGCATGCTCCCATCCTTTCTGAACACATCCCTATGTGTAACGGATAGTGACCCCGGCAACAGATAGGGGGGCATTCACCAGAGGCGAAGGCATCATATGACCCCTGAGGTCAGAATAACATGGAAAACCATAGTTGAATACAGGCTGAACATCCATAGATGAATACAGGCTGAACATGCTTAGACAGGAAGTCCTTTGGAATTTCGACGTTTTTGGATTTTGGAGCTCACACCTCGCTCAGCATCCCTTGTCCGAAAACAGGAACTCCGAAGGCCTCCGGTGAGCGTCTCCTTTGCTCAAGAAGTTTAGGATTTTGGAGCATTTGGGATCTCAGGTCTTCAGATGGGGGAGGCCCCACCCTCCTCAGACCCTGGGCTCCAGCAGCAGAAACCTCGAACCCTGCTCCTACAGCCTTGTGGTTGTCAGGTCCTAGACCAGACACTTTTCCTTTCTATGTCTTTGTTCTTTGTTTGCAAAAATGCCAGTGGCGGGCTGAGCGTCTGCCTGGGGGATGTCCTAAGAATTAAATGGCGCTGTGCTTACAAAGCTCATCCGATGGTGCCCAGCCTCGGCCCCCTGCCTGGCCTGGGCCCCACCAGTGGGAGGCCAGGAAAGCTCGGGCTTGCGCGTTGGAGGTCCATGCCAACCACAAATCTAGCCCCCTAGCCTGGGACGTGGGAAGGAGAGTCTTAGCACTTTGTTCCCCCCGCCCCCAATATCCCAACAAGGGGACAGGCCCTCCATAATGTGACCAATGAGTGTCCCTGGGAGACCCCGGCCATGCTTCCAGAGTCGGGCTCTTTCTGTTTGCCTCTGTCATTTTGCAGGAGTTGCAGCAGGTTGGCAAAGTGTTTGCTGGGACATGTCGCCCTGAACTTGAACATCATAACATCGTTCTGCTTCTCTGAAACAAGGGCTCCGATTTCTAGGGCCACTGAAGCACTCAGATTTCAAGACGAACACAAGTGCCTTATAGGAGGAACAGCCACTCCCTCAGACGCATGGGTCTCTTTCCGAAGCCCTTTGAATGTAAAACTCTGAGCACCCAGGAGTAATCTTAATTCCGTTCAGAATCTGCACTTAAAACTATTGTCTCAAGAGAGTCAGGGGGTAACACACTAGAAAACACCCCATGTGTAGAGACACAAATGGTTAATAATTGTAAATATTATCTTCATTCTGTGAGGAATTCTACCATAAATAAATGGCTCTCCTACACACATCCCCTGTGCTACAGTACTCTTAGAACATTCATTCCCATGTTGTGGTCCTCAGAACTGACTTTTTCTTCACAGGGATTATGTGAGACAAAACCAGAAAAATATTCTATATTCACTTGTTTTCACCGTAGGGTCTTGACGTGCAGAGAAAGGACTGAAGCAAAATACACTTGGGAAAACAGGTCTCATTTACTCAAGATGAGAAAGGTGTCTCCACATGAACCAAGTGTTTAGAATGTCTTCACTTTTGAATATTTTGGCTTAGCCAAAATATCTCTATTTGAAGTTATTGGAAAATGAAGTCGGCGGATGGCACTAAGACTAGTGTAGAAGCAGCAGACTCGTGTAGAAGCACCCTCCATAATATTTAACGACTGGGTAAACGGTTGCTCCCTGGTTAAGATGTGTCTGTGCATAGAAGCAAAGATCATATCTGCCTATAAAGAGAAAACGTCATCAATTACCTCTGATAGTCTCTCAGCGAGGCACAGCGGTACAGATGAACATCATATCTTCAGTGAGTCTAACAGAGTTGGGTTTTTTTTTGTTTTGGTCTCCCCTTTCCCTGCTTCCCACATCGGAAGGCAGGTTTGGGGAAACTGGGGGCATTTCCGGGTGAAGCCGCCAGCTGGCGTGAAGGGCCCACTTTGTAGGAAAAACACACCTTGAAATCCTCAAACGACTCCATGAGTGGCAGAAGGTCATTCTAGAAACAATAAGTGGGAACTTAACATCGAAACAGAAAAGCAAAGCATATCTCTTGCCTCATAGAGTCTGGTGGACATAATTGCCTTATTTTTAAAAAATCTTCTTTAAACTTTTTTTTTCTTTTGAGACAGGATTTTGCTCTGTCACTGGGGTATGATTGCATGACCATGGCTCACTGCAGTCTCAAACTCCTGGGCTCAAGCCATCTTCCCACCTCCACCTCCTGAGTAGCTGAGACTACAAGCATGGGCCACCACACTCGGCTCCTTTTTTAAACTTTTTTTGTAGAAATGGAGTCTTGCTATGTTCCCCAGGCTGTTCTTGAACTCCTGGCCTCAAGCGATGCTCTCACCTCAGCCTCCCAAAGTGCTAGGATTACAGGTGTGAGCCAACATGCCAGGCACCCTTGTTTCCATTTTTAAATTAACGTTTAAAAATTCATTTTATTTTTAATTAATGCTTTCCAAAATTATTTATCATCATAAGTAGGGCAGATAAAAGGTCAGGCACATGATTCCCTAGGCCTGCTCCTCAGGGATAGGGAAATCTATTTTCAGGATGTGTTTGGTCAACACTGTGTATGGCCCACATAATTTCTCTTTTTCTTTCACCTTTGCTTTGCGTCTCCTCTTCCCTCTGAAAGCACATCTTTAAATTGAAAAGTGTATGGGACTAGATTTTTTTAAATGGGGTACATATACATGATGGAATACTATGCAGCCATAAAAAAGGACAAAATTATGAACTTCACAGCAACTTGGATGGACTTAGAGTCTATAATACTGAGTGATCTATCACAGAAACAAAGAGCTGAGTGCCACATGTTCCAACTCATAAGTGAACCTTGAACAATTATCATAATACTATAAGAAAGGGATTGGCCATAGTGGGAAACTGCCGGGGAAGGGGCGGGGTGGGATTGGCAGTAGGGGGAAGCTGCTGGGGGGGGGGTGCACCTCATCAAAAAGGGTACCTGCATAATGAACATTTGCATACTTAACCCTGAATTGTACCCCACATCTTTAAAATAAGAAATTAGAAAAATAAAAGCGTATGCCTGGATTCTCTCTTGTTAACAGGGAGCAATCCCTGGGTGAATTGGAGATCGACTTTCCTCCCTGCCTTCCCAGCCTAAGGAAGGGCTCACCCTGTGGTGGAGAGTGCTGGGATCTAGAAGAATGTCATTTTCATGCCACAGCCCACACACAGTTAGTAAGTCATTCGACGTAAAGTACCACATTGAAAGCACACAGGCGATCTTCTGAGGGACGGTCCACAGCTTTCTATCTCATCCTCAAAGTCATCAATGATGCCAACAATGGCAAACATATGTCAGAAGTCTGCAGTGTGAATTTCTTATTGCTTTCTATGGGAATAACACATTATCAGTCCACTCGGTGGCAAAAGTATTTTTGTTGCCATCAACAAAATTGTGAGCTTTCACACTAAAATTCAAATGTCAGGCTGGGCACAAGGGCTCACACGTATAGTCCCAGCACTTTGGGAGCCTAAGGTAGGAGGATTGCTTGAGGCCGGGAGTTTGAAACCAGTCTGAGTAACACAGCAAGACTCTGTCTCTACACACACACACACACACACACACACACACACACACACACACACACACACACAATTAGCTTAGTGTAGCAGCACATGCTTGAAGTCCTAGCTCTTTGGGAGGTTGAGGTGGAAGGTTTGCTTGCATGCAGGAGTTTGAGGTTACAACAAGCTATGTTTGAGCCACTGCACTTTAGCCTGGGTGACAGAGAGAGACCCCATCTCTAAAAAAAAAACCTAAAGGCAAATAAAAATTTTAAAAGCAATAGTAATAACCAAATCCCAATATCTTAATTCTCTCATGCCAGCTGGGTCAGTGACCTCCATGAAAACACGCCAAGAGCCGGGCTCGGTGGCTCAGCCTGTAATCCCAGCACTTTGGGAGGCTGAGGTGAGTGGATTGCCTGAGCCCGCGGGTTCGAGGCCCACCTGGGCAACTTGGTGAGCCCTCATCTCTACAATAAAATAAAAAATTAGGTGGGCGTGGTAGCGCATGCCTGTAGTTCCAGCTACTTGGAAGGCTGAGGCGTAATGATTGCCAGAGCCCAGCAGGTCGAGGCTGCGGTGGCCAGGAGCGGCCACTGCACTCCAGTCTGGGTGACAGATTGAGACTCCAACTCAAAAAAAAAAAAAGAAAACACGCCAAGCCATGCTGCATGTGCGACACCGTTCCAGGTGCCAGGCAGGAGCAGGGAGCTGGGTAGACAGCACCTGGACCTTCTGGGTGCCCTCAGCCCAGCTGTTCACCAACCTGAGGTCACCTGGAGTGCTCAATCACATGACCTCCCTCTTAGTAGTTGACTCCAAGAGCCTCTCCCTGCAACAACTTCCCATCCCAACCCTGTACTCGCTGGATTTGATGTTTTGAGTCTCAGTCTCTAGAAGACACAAACTTTCTCATGGGTAAAACAGAGACCATAAGATATACCTCAGTGGAATGTGTGAGAATTAAGATGCATGTAGGATTGCCTAGCATACAGCAGGTACTCAATAAATGTTATTTCTTTACTCCCATCACCTGTCATCCCCTCACTTCCTAAATGCACCACTGAATACTGTACACATGAGCCTTTTAAATGGTGACCCCTCCCTTAACGGACGCCTGCTGTGACTTGCATCTTGACGACCTAACTCCCAAGGAATGGAATTTGGAGATGGGGATTTGGGAGGTGAGTAGGGTGAACCGAGGTCATAAGGGTAAAGCCCTTGTGATGGGGTCGACACCCTTGTCAGAGACTCCAGAGAACGTCTTTCTTCCTACCATGTCAGGCCACAAGGTAGGGTACACATCCACAGGCCAGGAAGATGGCCTCACCCAAAGCTGAAACTGCTGGTTCCTTGATCTCCCACTTCCAGCCTCCAGAACTGTGAGAAGACAAATGTCTGTGGTGCAAGCCACTCCGCCTCTGGGACTTCATGATGGCATTCCAAGCTGACTCACACAATGTTTCACACAGAGCCAATGTTGGCAAGAGGGTTCAC